GTATATATATTCTTTTATTGCATAATTGTTATGTAATTAAACTATGTATATACATAGTCCTCTTATTCTAAGCTTTATTTTGACTCATAGATGATTATTATCCGATTTACCATTCTTGAGTTATGCCCTGTCACTTCATTACAGTCTCGCACATTCATATCCACTTTTGGCTTGATCTTGTATAAATGTGTATTTTCTATTTTATGATACGATGTGGTCTGTTTGATTGGTAATATAAACCCAGTTATGTTTGAAATACATGATTCATATCACAGAGGCTGAGATCAGTGTTCTGGACTCAACAGGTAGGCAGGGTTAGTCAGGAAGATGGACCAATAAAGACAAGTTTATGCATCATTGATCCGGTCGATAATTCATTGTTCTCTAATTGGCGGTATCATTGATAGCGTATAAAGCTACAAGTTATAACATTGATAACTTGTAAATAATTCTTACTTTTTCTTCTTTTTTTCCAAGTTATTTAATCAGAAATTATTTCACATGATCCATAACTATTTGGAATTTCTAAATGATTCGTCTAAACAAATAAATGTCTCATCTGTCATTAAAAATTAATAAATAATACAGGAAATTGTGTGTGTAGTAAACTCAAGATATTTCTAGATTCTATGGAAATTGACATTAGATTACATTGTGTATAACTGATGAGTCAGTCAGTCAACAACGTAGAACTTCGTACATACATACATCAGTTCGAGTTACCATACCACATTAACCCAAAAGATACAATTGTCGATTCATATGTATAAAAATGCAAATTTTTTTTCTAAGAAGAATTCCAATTGATGATGATGATTATGATTATGAATCATCAATAACATGGCGCCAATTGATTCCGTATGAAACTCAGTTGCTTTTTATTAAGAAGATAATAATCATATAAGTTTTACGACAAGTATTGATTGTTCAATTTAACAATCAGGTGATTGTAAGATGATATATTTCTAACTGAGATCAACTACATTCTAATTATAATTGTTTAATGATTAGATTTTAGAAGTGAATTAGCCATAGAATCAAGAATACTCATTTCATTTCGGTTTTATTAGCGATTTATGGATGAACCAATCAGATTTGGAATAATAGGTGTTAGATTTTGGCGCGGAATTCATTCATCCATTTGGTTGAAGAGCATTTTTGCATTTTTAACTGATGTCAGTTCGTGATGAAAACTCTAAATTTAATTCCTGACCTTAACCATCAAATATAATTTATAGTTCTAACTCCTCACACTGGTTTATAACCCTCAATTAACTCTAGTTACTAGGTGAGCATTACCAAGGTCACTTTAGCGTCACTCAAAGGTCGTCCATAAACTATAGTCTCATGTATTTCTGTACTTGTAAGCTAGATATACCTGTGTCTTCGTATTGATACTCATAATGGGCTTCTGACCTAGTATCCGAAGCTCTACATTTTCAAACAATATCCCATTAACCTTACGCTTATGATAACCACTAACATGTAACAGGGTTTGATAATTATTATTCATCTGTGGACTGATATTTTGTGCTCATAAAATCTTGGCTCATGATAAACATAAGCAAACTGTGAGACTTAGGTAGAGTTTTGTTTTCTGAGCTAGATAGTTTGGTCGTGGAGCTTTGATGGGTCTTCTGAACAACATTATGAGCACAAACTTCAGGTAGAAATGAAGTGTCCGAATTCCTTTATATATAACTCAAAGCTTATCCTGTGAACGTTGATCTTGATTGGTTACTGTCAACAATGAATGAAAAATGAAAGCTCTATGAAGAAGCAATCAAGATCAGTGGACGAAATTCCACCTTAATCATCTACCCTTAGCTAAAAATCTTCTGCACCATCTAAAAATTGTGAGGTTGGAAACAGAAGTGTTATATTCCATGATTTGGTGCAATTATTATGAATGCCCAGAACCACTAACTAACCTAGATATGTGAAGAAAAAACTTAGGACTGAGCAGGAAGGGTTTTTTGCTAAGTACTTAATATATATGTCCGCGACTCATCCCTGTACATAGGGTGCTCGGATACCCGCAACAAGAATGTATTGTATCAAACCTATAACGTTGATTAAGACCATTATTGTATGAATTTGACTGTGGACTGACGAATAATTCGCTTGCAGTTGTCCGTCCACCTTTGTATCTTACATGTTGTGTGATCTTGAGATACAATGTTACTTATCTGTTTTCTCTGAATAACGAGTTGAGACAAGGTACGATAATTTCTGAATACGGCTACTCTGTCAGGTGCATAAGTAGGAAGTGAAAAACATAGTGATGTAATTATATCAGTACTTGATATTCATACATAGTTTATAACTCATGCTGCATTGTGGTGTATGCTAACTATGTTGATGGATATAATTAGTATGTAGCACCAATCATTAATGAAATGCTTGCTAACAGAAGGTTGAATTAAGAAGAACAGTAAAGAAAACAGAGAACATTGAAATAAAAACAGGATTGAAACGTGTAAACGACAACTGAAGGAAGATATGAAAATAATGTACTTAATGTACGGTTTTCATATTTTACCATGGTTTTGTGTAATTTTGCATTAAACAATGAAATGGCTTGCCCCATTTAAGTTTTTGTTTACTATAGCATAACCTAAATTTCTGCTCAGATCAAAATCACTATTCTGTGAGTTGACAGCATAGATTCCCAATAGGTCTGCTTATAAATTCATTTCGCTAGTAAAGGATGTTTCCATAGATCTTGTTCTATGAGCAAATAGTTGTTTGTTTTGATCAAGATCAAGTAGTGAAATACATGATTTGGTCAAGGTATTAAAGGTGGTGTTTGGAATTAAAAAGTGGGTATGATAGCACTTCAAAAGTTACTTATTAAGATACAAAAATTTGTTCAGTTATTTCTTAATTTATGCACGCTTATGTCATGAAATGAAGACATTTAAGGAAATATGTGGAACGGATAGATGTTTGTTCCTAGTGAGGTACCCATCAGCAGTGGACAACTGCGATGCAACATGAAATTGATTTGAGGGCCTACAGGTTTGTGCTAAGCATGGTGCTTCAAAATCAATTAGACAATATTCAGTCATCGAATATCACTCGATATTATGGAGGGATCATCTAACTCCCTCACTGCTAGTGTGATACTTTTCTTAGGCCACGACATCGTTAAGTTTCTGGTACGGAGGTCTCTAAGGGTCCTGGTCCAGTTTTAACGATTAGGTTGACTAATATTTTAGCTAAGATCTGGGAGTTAGACGTTATTCCATCTGACTGGTCGCAATCACTTATCGTCCCAATATATAAGAAAGGATCGAAATGATCCTGTGACAACCAGAGAGGGATAAGTTTAACTAATATAGCATCTAAAATACTATCCTCAATAATTATCGGGTGCCTAACAAAGACTTGTGAACTGCAAACACGAGAAAATAAGGCTAGCTTCAGCCCTGATCATAGCTACATCGACCACATATTCACCATTCCTCAGACGATGATAGTTTTCCTTGACTTAAAAGGAGCGTTCGACTCTATAGACCGAGAGGTTCTATGGTAGTACCTGTCACTGAAAGGCATACCTCAGAAAAACATAAACCTTTGAGGGCTTTTTACTCGAACACTACCAGTTGTGTCAGAGCTTATGGCGAACTGCCGTCTGGTTTTGCAACCTCAAGTGATGTCTGACAAGGCTACTCACTATCTCCATTGTCGGTCAATTTCATCATAAACCTATTGCCGCAAATAAAGTCCTCGTCGTTTGGACTTCCAGGGATTGAACTCCTAGCAGAAGGTCCCCTTATCGATTTAGAATACGCAGATGAGATAGTCCTATTTGGTGAAGACGCTGATAAAATGCAGTGTTTTGGTAGCACTGAGAAACAATGCCAGGATGCGTTTCTTCCTCTCTAAATGCAAGTCGTTGCTTCGGGACTGGCATGCGTGAACACCAGGAATAAGGATAGGTAGTGAAGTAGTCGAACGCGTCGACAACCTCTTATCTTGGAAGTCTGATCAACCATAATGGATTGGTGTTTGACAAAATCTCTGCATGGATTTTGTCAACTTACGTCTCCTGTGCCGAAGGCAAGAAATTCGCCTACCAGTTAAAAATTTGTTCTGTTCTAGTTTACGACTGAAAACGTGGTCACCAAGGGTAGAGGATATTCGAAAGTTAGCAGTATTTGACCACAGATGTTTAAGAATTATTGCCAACATCTGTTGAGATCACCGGGTGAGTAATAGTGAAGTTATACGCAGGGTATTAGGGAATGATGGTAAATCAGTTGATGAGGTTGTGAATCTTCATTGACTGAGATGGTTGGGCCACGTATTACGTATGCCCGGACACAGTTTACCATGACGCGCAATGCTGACTAGTGTTGGAAGTTAGGAGCGGCCAAACCAAAACGTGGCATCAGTGCTTGAAGTCACTAACTTCTAGTCTGAGCCATGTTGGTAGATGCGGACTACGTGGTTGGGGTCTGCACGACTATCGTAATCAATGGTCAAGGCTCTGGGTGACATGGCTCAGAATCGAACGCAATGTCGTAGATGTATACACACTCTGTCTTTCCTTAAAATACGAGATTAAAATCGCTTCATATCTTTCTTTCTATCAACTAATTCTTTCTTCCAGTACTATATCCTTATACAAAATCTTTCCTTTATATACTACTGCCATTGAATTGACTACTTCTATCAATTCGTTGTTCATCTTGTTGTGCAAGTGGAATCACTTAATTTCTCACGGTATATCATGTTTAATATAGTGTGTCCATCAAGAAGGAGAATAAATTGACGACTATGGCATTTAAAATCAATATAGGTCGTGAGCTTTTAACGAAGATACGTGTGTACATTTGAAGATTTACATAAATAATTACTTCGTGAAAACAAATCTAAAGAGAAAGATTTCCTGTAGGGTTTTGAATTAGACCGCCTAGTAACATACACCAAAACTCAATATTACTAACCGCATAATCCAACTACTACTCAACAATAATCCTATAAGAATAAATGAAACCCAATTTTAAAATTATACTCTCATTTTCTGTTTTCATATATGTAAAAGAAAACACAGACAGAAATACTGAGTATCCATTCACCCAACGATAGACCACTGGAACATCTCATTTGTACTATAAATAGATTATGGGAGCAATTACAGTCAAATAAGTGTTTGTATTTATGTTGAAATGTTATTAGCTACTATCCCTAACAGACCTAATGGAATTTTAAAGATAAATGAGGTGATTGAAAAACACACGCACACACATACAACTAATCCATTTGCAATACATCGAGAAAGTTATTACATTAACAACTGTCAAGATTGCACACTAAAGTTCACTAAAAAGAAAGTAATGGCCACATTCATTGAACAATAAAAAAAGAACAGAAAACAACTAACATATTTGTGTGCAACTGTAATTTCTGGTTTACTTTTAAAATTATGATCATCATTATTAGCATTAGAATTATATAAAGCAAGATGAAACAAAAGATACATAGTTAGTTAGCTAGTTAGAATTAAGTTTATTATCATTGTGGCTGCAGTTGTCATCGTTGTTAGAGCTTCAATCTCTTTATTACTTTGAATAGAAAAAACAAACGAGCATTGGCAATGACGATAACAATAACCAACAAAATTCAGTCAAAAGAACAATATCAAGTTTATATGCATATTGTGTGGAAAAGGGTGAGAAAGGTCTGGGCTGATTGATAGTAGTATTAGTAGTGGTCATCGTGGTGTACACACAAAATACATTTCACATGCAATTTTGTTACCTTTAAAAATAACTTTAAGGCAACGAGAAAAAAAGTGAAGAGAATGAATGAGCAGGAATTAAAATTTCATCAGAAGTAGCAATATGAAGCAATTGCTATGCGAGAGAGATCGATTCACATAATATGAAACAAACGAGGAGTACAACATAGAACACCAACAACAAAAACACCAACAAGAACAACGTAATTGCTGCTTGAACTGACTTTAAACAATGAAAAAACAAAAACAAAATATATGTATATATATATATATATATATATATATATATGTATATATAAACAAACAAGCGAATAGTGTGTTTGTTTTTCAGGTAGAAAATAAATGTTATTACAATTTGAAAAATAAACAGAGAGAAACAAGTGTATAGGCAGATAGAAAAAAAAAGAAAGAATGCAACGTAAATAGAGTAAGCAAAACTGTAGAAGAAACTTTGGAACAGTGATTTCTCTCTCTAAAAAAGGAGAAAAAATAATAATAATAAACTAACATAATAATGACCATGAAAAAGAGTGAATCAATTGCATTTCCCTAAATAAGTCACAGCTCATCATCACATTATTGTTAGTATCCCCATATGATGATGATGATTGAAATAGTTTTTCCTTCTAGTTCTTCTTCTTCTTCTTCTATAAATTTACTAAAGTCACAGAATTAGAAGAATACACACGCATAAACATTAGGTAGTTGTAAAATCTGTAGTAAAAAAGAGAAGAGAGGAAATTAAAAGCAGTTATTCAAAATAAAGCTTATCAGTAAATATACACAGAGAGAGACAAAACATAACATTGACAAAGGGTTATTATCATCAAGTCATACTCACACTAATTACAATCTGATCTATGATGGTTAAATGAAGATTATCTGATGAAGGTTCTTATGATAAATACGACCTGTGGTTGAAGACATTGAACGATACGGATCAAAATCGGTCACAATAGACCAGATATATACATTGTTTATCTCCCTCTAGATCTTGTGTTGTAGTATTTTTTTTAAGCATACACCTTATCATTCTATCTTCGTGAACTATATTCTATATATGTAATGCTTTTCACAACCATCGATACTAATATTAGTTCTACTTCTTTGCTATTCATCTTAGTATTTTCTTCATGTTGTGTTGATGTAATATGGTCACTCGGAAAAACGCATATTTTCGACATGCTCTACATCGATTATGACTGATTAACTATGGATACGAAAGTCTAGTGACGGTTTGTTCAATCATAAATTCGCTTATCAATTGTTAGGTTATTTCGCTCTACTACGATTGGAAGCAAATGGCTGGTACCATCATATAAAACGGTATAACTCACAGTTCAGTACATTAACTTTTTGATTCGTATATCGGGTAAAATTATATACCGTTATCCTCAATGCTGCTCATTATTATTAGTTTTATTTGAACACATAAATATTGGTACAAGGGGGAACCAAATACATATGCGCTACACAATAACAATGAGGCCAGTAGAAGTTATCATTGATATGTATGAGGGTTGTGATATTGTCAGAGTGCCCAAACCGAAGCAGATGGTTTTCTTAGGGGACCGCACCCCAAACTTTTGACCTAATGGTTTGACCCACAAGGCAGTGGATCAACGTCAGGAGATGCAGTCCCATGGTAGTCGGTGACCAACAATAGGCTCATACATACACCATTTGTTCCCTCAGGATCCTAAAGCCCATGCACATCATTGGTTTGGAATGAGGGTTTTCCAACTCCTCTAAGTAAATCCCCCATATCCACCAACTCGATTTGCGTGATGACCATTCGCTTTTCGTCCTTCCAATTTCGTAAACAACAACCTGGGCACGAGAAGGCAGTGATTAGGACAGTGGTTATATATACTTGACCATGTGAAAGCATTTTGGAAGAGAGCGCAAACTTTTCCCACTCTCGGAGGCATCAGGGTATTTGGGGATAATAATAAGTTTGTTATCATAATTTCAACAACAAAAACATTCATTCAATTCAGTAAACGATTGTTTATATAATTTAGTTGACTCTTCATTATTACTGATCCATTTAAAACTTTGATATACCAGTATTAATTTAAATGATTAATTAGATATTTACGTTAATTAGTAAATGAACAGTAGTAACCAATATCAAATTATTAAATAGCTGATATAGATTAAATTCTATGGGTAATAATTACAATAAGACTTAGGTTAAATATAACAAAGTATTGTTATAATCTAATTGATTAATGTATTAAACTTTCAAATATTAAATGATAGATTTAAACCTTGTTTAGTAATAGTTCCATTTTGATAACCGGATACTATATAACTTATATGTAGAGGGAATTGAACTTGAGTACATATAATTATGTATTTCTTAAATTTAACATGACGATGCATTTTAGCTTTGATTCAAGATAGTTGAAGGAAATCATTAAGAAAACCTATAATTTGAAATTATGTTAGTTGATATCACAAAGCATCCATTATTATATAATCAATCCGCGCGAAGAATACGAACCCAGAGACCTCGGTCTCGCGCGCGAACGCTTAAACTCTAAACCACTGAGCCGGCATTCGACGGTGTTAATGTCTTACTTTAACTAATCCATGATATTGCGTGTCCTTCAACCATTGTCTTCAGTCAGTAACGGTTGAACTCTACCACTGGTCACAGCTTCACGTTAGAACTCCGGAAAATCCATCTTGAAACCAATCACTGGTGAGCACATGATGATTATCAGTATAGGGTTATAGAATAAGTAAGCAAATATGAAACAGAAAATACTCAACAATACATAAATAAGAATATAGACTAACTACTTACAGTTTAAGCTTTGTTGTGCAAAAAATCGAACATCCTGATCAAAATCATAATCTATGACTTTTTTTAAAACCGGTATCACATCATTTTGAATAGTTCTAAATGACAAAGAATGGTGAGGAAGAAAGAAGGAGAAAATACACACATAATGAGTACATTGATTAAAGAATAATAACTAGAAAAGTTGTCATTGATTAACCATTGATAAGTGACCGATCATAATACACAGTCGATACATTTTGAAATCATCTAAAAAAGATGAACGCTTTACATTCAAACTATTAAAAATATTAAGGAAACACAATTTACTGAAATAACACAGCGAAACAGATACACTCTAAAATCAAACATTTTGAACACAGAATGAACAAACAAAAATGGCATTTTTACATTTTCGTGTTGCAGTTTGAACTAAAACAGATTATTATGTTACACTGGAAACCCTACATATTTAGTCTTATCAGGTGAATGGTTATGCGATGGGCGGTTATGAACCATATTTACAGAGAAAGAGCGAGTGCAATTACCCGACTTTACGAATTAAATTCAATGGTGAGAGAGAGACAGAGCATTCATGTGTCAAGAAATGATACTTCAATAAAGAAAAAAAAATTGTGCATTTAGTATTTAAATAATCCTGAAAGACAATAATCAAATGAGAGAGGAGTTCGATTACAAATGAGATTTTAAGATCGATATCACGATTTACTAGGCACATGAAAATGGTAACTTAAAGTAAAAACAAATCTAATGCTTTGGGAATAATCCCCTCAACAGATAGGAGATAGTATGGCACTTAAAAAACTCACTTTTTATCCAGAGAACCGGAGATTACGTGGAGGGCTTGTGTTGCACAAATTCGTACATTTGGCACTACATCCTCCAATAGGAAACGTAATAACTGAGCTACACACCCGGTCAAATAAACATTTGGTATTTGTGGTGGTGCTTGGCAGCCTTTAGGAACTGTTGTAACATTTACATTATCTGAATTTGTGAGGTTCTTCGATGTTTTTGATGACAAATAAGCATAGATGTTACGGGAAGCAGGAAAGAGAATTCCTGCGCTAGGATCATCACCTAGGGCACTGTAAGGAGGTTCATCCAAGATACCAGGGCCCCAAACAGCCTATAAACGTATCCAGAAAAAGATAATACCGTTTGTAATTCAAATGAGAAAATTAGTCATTCATGAAAAGTGATTAAAAAGCATAATGATGAATGGAAGCTTAGGATTTAGGAAATGATACTATTACATAATTGACAGTTATGAACTTAGATCAAATTTCACACGATTAAGAACCACTAGTATTTAGGTTTCTCGTGTAGATGGATAATTTTTATGGTGAAGTATGTATCAGGTTTATTAAAATGATAGGAGAAACATAAAGTGATAGATGACATAGAATATAAATTTGTCAACTAATAAATATTTAGAACATCAAATAATCGATATAAGCTCTTATATTAACTGTATTCAAAAGACAACTATCAAGCGAATGGATTTTCACTCTAGTAAAACAACCTTTATATGTAATAAATTATGAGGTATAATATTAGACATGATTCCACGTAAATTAACAAGTAAACGAATAAAATGATAATAATTTTCTAAAGTAACTCAAACAACAATGAAATCAGGACCTGACAATCAGTTTAATTGTTGTCAGTGAACAACAAAGAGTTCTACACCATCCAGTAAGGGGCAACAGATAACTATCTAAACAGATAAAGTATATTTATTTGATCATTTCCTGGATTATATTTTAATCTAATCCGGTACTAGACATTATTTATTTATTTATAAATATTGGTACAAAGGGGCACCGAATGCATACGCGCCACACAAGTTACTTGATTTGTGTGTGGGCTGTGATATTGTCCGAGTGCCTAAACCGAAGCAAGTGGTTTTTTTAGAGGGACACCACAGCACAAACCTGGTGATGGGAGTATACGCGTGGCCATGTGAGATCATTTTGAGAGGGAGAACTGACTCGTCCCACCCTCAGTCGTAACAAGGCATTCAGGGGGCCAGTCACTATAAACATTTAAAAATGGGCGATTAGTATTGTTTAAATTTCTAAAAGTTTACACAATTATTTAAAAATTTACCATTTCCAATCAAGACTTTATAATTAACATGGAGACCGGTTATTTAGTGATTAAATCCTAACCTCAGTATATATATTTTTAATCATAAAAAACAGTTCAAAATGAACTGTTACACAAATATACTCGTTTTTTTGGTGGATAAAACGTCATTTTCTTCCCCGTAAAAGTAGATGAACTTAAATAGATGTTAGAAAATTCTATTTTATCAGAAGGGGTTTTGTGAAGATTTCATAAATTTCACTGAATGAAATTATGACCCAATTGAAGTTAGACCACCATGGAAAACCTGGAAGCGCCGGACGGCCGTTTCGTCCTAGTATGGGACTCCTCAGCAGTGCGCATCCACGATCCTGCACTCCGCGAGATTCGAACCCAGGAACTAAGGGTTTCGCGCCAGGCGCTTAACCGACTAGACCACTGTAATTTTTTAATCAATCTTAGATTGTTTTTTTCTCTCTTTCTCACTTATATTCACAGATTATATAATCTTCACTGTATTTATTTCTTCACAATTTAATTGGTTCAACTTTATATGAAGTATACTGTTGATGCTTTATTAAACCTAAAATGTTGAGGTACTATATATGTAATGTAAATGAATCTTATTCAATGTGTACAGTTGAAAATTAAACTACAAATTTAAACATGTTCATAAAATGACGATGACACTGTAAAAAACTATATATATAAACATATATTTGGGAACAGTTCGGTAAATCTTACTTGTACTACGTTAATGTATATTTGACGAAGATGATAATTTGTATCTACGGCAAGAGCTTTAAGGCCACCTGCAGCAGCTTGTGTAGTTAAAGCATTGACTGGATTAACAGCAGAAGTATTTGATGTAGTTGAAAGACCGGAAGTATTTGCTTGATCTAACACTTGAGCATTTGTTGAACTAGGAAGATTACCAGTGGAAGTATTTGATGCATTTGTTCCACTAGTTGGATTAGTTACATTAGATGAAGCACTGTTTGGATTAGAAGTTATACTACCTGAACCAGAGTTTGTAGTCGCTTTAGATCCTACTCCACTGAATGCTTTTTTGCAAGCTCCCGGACATGCTACTAATAAACGAGCAAGACTACGACAAGCACATTCACGAACGCACCACGCCGGATCTCGTAACCATGCAAGATTTGCAGGTAGAACAGTTTCCTGTAAACAATTTTCCGGCTAAAATATAAATAATAAAAATGAATAAAAAGTTAGTCGGAAGAAATCTAGCTAAATGAAATTAGTACACAGTTGAACTTATCTAATCACTGAATTTTTCTAACATTACTGCATTACGAGACAAGTGCCAACATAGAATCTTGAAGTTAAAACGAAAAGAGGAAGATCAAGGAACATATTGCATCGGGATCGTAAGCTGACATTACAAGAATGAATAGCAACTGGAAAGGATTGCTCAGGATAGAGTTCGATGGACAATGCCGGTGGGTGGCCTGTGCTCCTCCACAATGGGTAACAAGTGTAAGTAGTAATTACTGACTTGGTTTTTGATGGGGTTTTGTTCTCTGAGTTGGATGGTTTGGTCGTGGGGCATTGATCGTTCTTCTGAACGACATCATCAACACAAACTTTAGGTAGAAGTGAATTGTTCGAATTTCTACATGCTTCACTTATACCTGAAGTTTGTGCTGATGATGTCGTTCAGAAGAACGATCAATGCCCCACGACCAAACCATCCAACTCAGAGAACAAAACCCCATCAAAATCATCCACCTGAGCTACAAATCTCCACCATCTCACTGTCTTGCTTTAATAAAAATAGAGGATCGAGTAGGATGAATAATCTACCAAATACAAATCAATGTGTTTGACATCATTTTACACGATGTACATACGAATAAGATGAGGAAGATTTTGAAATTCTAAGATAAATTTGGATTATACTCAGTGAAACTATTTATTTATTTGAACACATACATATTGGTACAAAAGTGCGCCAAATATATATGCGCCACACAAAACAATGAGAATTTAAAGAGAAGGAAAAAGAAAAAAAGGTAAGGAGGGTAAAAAAAGAGAACAATAACGAAGAGATTGGTGTAAGGTAGTGTAATAATAATAGTGGTAATAATGGGGGAACGGAAAGGTACAATCAGAAAAAACCCTTCAGTTAAGGAAGATACAACCATTTTTTCTTATGAAGAAAGTAAAAGATTACAGCAGGATCGCCACTGGCCTCTATTCTGAGCCATATCTGATAACATCTCTAGCCATTGAGTTATCATATCATAACTCAATGAAACTACAAGATAGTAAGTAAATGAAAAAAAATCACAATGCAATGATGGTAATACCATTGACTAGTAATGTAACAGAGATTAGGTCGCCACGATCATACAGAATCTACAAAATAGAACTACTCGTTCGCTCCCCATTAATAACTCTCTAGTTAAGTATACAACAATGTACAATAAAAAGGAAACTAAGAAAATTTATTTTTGTAGCTTTGGTTGACGATGATATAATGTAGGATGTCATTTTTCGGAAATTTTGGTACATTGGCAAGGATAATTCTAACGATAATTTTGATAGTGTCTACAATAACTCAACTCTCTTCTAACACTATTATCTACTAAAGAATGAGTATTTCAGAGCGTCAGATTCAACTTTACTCGAGTGTGTGTGTTCAAGATTCTTAAGAATATTATGGAAACCCTTTTAAAACAACAAATTGATTCAAATGACAAAGAATATCTGATACAAAAACACAAATTATCCACACAAAAAAATCTTACCAACTTATCATATAAACAAGGTACTGATTGAACAACACCAAGACGAACACGCCAATTTTTATCTTGCCAAAGACGAAGTAGACTTGGTAATAAGGTCAGCTGAATCTCGTTAGCAGGCATTAAAGCTACTAATTCAGAAAAATGCTCGAATACATATTGTTTGGACTAAAAAATAAATACATTAAAATGATACAACCGTTAAATGAATAAAATATTTCAACGGCATAAAAAACATTAAATTTAACCAAAGGAATATTGGACAGTTTCAGTAGTGTCTCAATTTAGGATGCCTAAGCTATTATTAATAAACATATGATTAATAGTGACTGAACGTCAAAGGATTTCACGAAGTCGTCGGAAATTCAGTCGTATGGTGTGAGACAGGTATTATGAATAACAATGGATGGTAAATGAGTGATCAAAAAGTATGGAGCTAGCCAAAAGAATTGAAGACCCCAGGTTTGATTACTGAAAGGGTCATAAATGCGCAATGGCTGAGGAGTTCTATACTAGAATATAACTAGCCTCTTGAAGTCTGAACACAAGCTGTACTTAAACTATGGGCTAAATAAAACTGAAGTATCAATTTTAGATCGAAATAATTTGCTTAAAAAGGAATATTACTGTCTGTAGGACAGTGACGTAGTAAACTCCTATCACAACACTAAATATTGTCACAGGTATTAAAGAAATATATTTAACCAGATAAAAAGCATTCAGAAAATATATCATGAACTGGTAAAGAAGCATCGCCACGAATCTTATACGATTTGATGATAGACTACTTTGAACACCATGAAGTTGTAATTAGAAGCATCGGATATATTAATGGATGCTGACTTAGCTTTTTAATTATTTCTGTCAACACAACTTCAAATGTCCAATTGATGAAATAAGGCTATTTGAAGAACGAAACGGACATATTAACCAATCATAAGTTCAACCGATTGAGAAATCATCCTAGTTAACGTTTTTATAAACTAACGTGGAAGATGTAGGACTGAATGCTTCTCAAATCTAATAACCTAATAAAGTTGAAAAAACTTTAATTTATATAGAAGTCATTAGTCCGTTTGTTATGACACCCAAACACCCCGGTAAGGCCGAGGGTGGCAAGAGCCAGCTTCCCCTCTTGAAACGCTCTCAAATGGCCACACGTATACAGCCACTCCAAGGGAAGTCCTACTCACTGCCTTCACGTGCCCAGAGTGTTATTTACGAAATTGAAAGGACGGAAAGCAAATGTCCGACACTTTAACCAGGTTCCTGGATATGGAGGATCCACCTAGGGGAGTTGGAAAACCCTCATTCCAAACCAACGATGTACATGGGCTCCATGATCCTGAGGGAACAAATGGTGTATGTATGAGCCTATTGTTGGTCACCGACTACTATGGGATTGCATCTCCTGACGTTGCTGCACTGCCTTGTGGGTCAAACAATTAGGTCGAAAGTTCGGGGTGTGGCCCCCTAAGAAAACTACCTGCTTCGGTCTGCGCATCCAGGTAGTATCATCGCCATCACACAAATCAAGTGACTTATGTGGCGCATATGTATTCGGTGGCCCAATATTTATGTGTTCAAATAAATAAATAAAATGATACGAAAAATGTTTTCCTTGTCCTCAGTGACTGGATTTGCAAACATCCTTAAAGTGGAAATTTATTAAAATATGCTTAGATAAAAAAATTACTAACAACAGTCTCTCACTAACCTGTGAACTTGTATCATTTAAAAATGCTAAAATATGCTGTACCAAAGGTAGACAATCTTCTCGACGAATAGATGGTAACAAACCAACAGCACATCGAACCAATTCAGAACGTACTCGTTCTTCACGTTCCATGGATAAATGTTCACGTAAACGCGGTAACAAAATGGTAACAAGAATATCTTTGGGGCTTGCAAGGCAGAAATCTATGAGAAAATGGTGAAGATGAAATCATTTGAACCACTGTAATATTTAGAGTAAGTTAACTTAAGACGATACATAGTTTGTCCAATAAATTGTGGATTAAAGGCATAAATGCTTCATTTAAAAACTAGCGACATCATTATTAAACTCTTTAAAATACCTCCCCCCGTTTGTGACAATATACTTTCATCATCTCTGTATCCATTGTTTGTAATACCTTCGAAAGTCCTCAGGCGTCAGTTCCTTGAGTGGAATCATTTTTTTCACGTTTTCTCCTCAACCAAAAATGTTGTACTGGATTAGTATACACAGAATGATTTCTCACGTTTACTTTATCAGCAATCATAAGGACAAACTGAGTGAAGGATCGAGAAGCACAAAATGTGATAGCCTATTTTAATCATAAATTTCTTAGATAGATGAATATAGGTTGGATTGCATCTTGTTGACTTACTACAGAGTGCAAAAATGTTTATAAAACGTTTATTTTATTTAAACACATAAACATTGATACAAGGAGGCACCAAGTAGATATGCGCCACATAAATCATTCGATTTGTGTGAGGGCTATGATACTGCCCGGGTGCCCAGACCGAAGCAGGTTAAACGATTATCATTAGAAATGTTAAATTGAGTCTGGCAATTCCAGAAACAACATCTAATAGAAAACATGCATGTTGTCACGTATCAGTTACATATTAGTATTTAAAGCCTAATGCAAGAAAGAATGAAAAAGACTTCAGTTGTTTTTGCAAAAACCATTTCCCAGAGAGAAAAAATCTTTTGAACTAACAAAAAAGATAAACAAATTACTTAATTATTTTAAGAAAGCATTAAGATATCTCTTCAGTTTTATAGCTGATTTTGTCAACGCAATGTATGAAGTCAACAAAACTAATGAACAATCCAATGATATCAAGTTACTGAATCGGTTGTTAGTTAAATGATTGATGTTTATTGGTTGAAAACAAACGATAAGAAGCCTTGAACTTTTTTTATAATCCGCTTTACTTGAGATTCATTATCGAAGACAATGTGTATCTAAACAATTTGCAGAGGAAAGATGCTGTTTGAGGGGTTTGAACAGTTGTCAAGCAGTGTTAAAATGGAATCTGATTAATTGTAATAAAGTATGAATGAAATATTTTAAAACTACTGATCGTATTTAGAGCAAAACATTAACTGAAATCCTGAGAACTAATACAACTAAAGTAATATTAGTTTCTATGCATACATTGTTTTTTCGTCAAGGCAGAATTTATCTGTTTCCATTAGTTATACAGTATTCTAACATCTATGTTTTGATACAGGTATCGTTTACATTACAAAAATACTTTGGGAACAGTTGGAAGTCACTTATCAACAATATAAGGTCTAGCACAAGTACACATCCGTTCAAGTTCATACAATTCATTTCAAGAAATTAACAAGACGAAAAATTAAAGCAGTTAAAATAACGGTGTCAATGATGATGAATGGCTAAACACAATACATTATTATTATTATCAGCTTTATTCAATATTATATTTTTGGTACAATATAGAATTCTCAGCGCAAAGTATTTCAACAAGTTTCCGTTTCTTTCTTCTTGATCGGTCCTTGCGATAAATATTGAGTGATCGTCAGTTAGATGTTAGCAGTTCAGTAAATGAATATCTGAATAATGTGCATTCTTTTCGTTGTATATTGCCAGCAACCACATTGTCTCTTATTGAGTTTTTTGTAACTTTGACAACGAAAGATTGTACACTTTTCAGAAACGCAGAAGAATAGGTTATGCGAAATATAGACACAATGATACATTAAAACAAACAAAAATAGATAACTTGTTGAAATATCTAGATGACAGGAACAGGTAGCCCAGATGCTCAAGCAGGCCGCCCTGTATAAGTTGAAGAATAAAGAGATATGCAAAAAAACATACCTTTCAGTTGACCAGCACTGATTCTACGCGTTTCTACTTCATTATCTTCTAGAAGATTTAACATAGTCTGATGCAATGATCGATTGGCTCCGCCATGATTACAAACTAAAGTTTGAAGATTTGTGATAACTGATGCCATCGCCCGCCTCACATCTCTATAAAACATAAATAATAGTGTTGCATGAAAAAGTAGTTTTTTGGGAAATTTCGAAAAAAATCATAATGAAACTGATTACAATGATGCAATTATTAGTCTCTGATTTGTCTTACGACATTATCATCATTTCAACATCTATACTAAATTACTGAACTAGAATGTTAAATCCGATAATAAGAAGTAATATCGTATAAAACCTTGTCGTAGCAATAAATTTGATGAAACTCCTTTTTCATTACACAACAGATCTAAAATTTATTTACTCTGAAGTGACTTACACGAAGGCACAGAATGTCAAAAATACAATTTTCTACTTATTGAGATATTGCTATCGTTGACTGACTTGAATAGTAAGAACTTTCACAAGCCGAAAACTGGTTCTATCAATTGCTTTAAATAATCAGAAAGAATTATGAATAATCTATACAAAGAATGAGTTGTACAAATGAATATGTAGACTAACACTTGAAATCGATAAAAATGGCCAAACATACAGATAATTCCCTACCTGAATTAGTCATCAGGATATTCCAACTATTACATTTCTCAGTTTAAAAGATGAATTGATCTTGACTAAATCACCATTAGAGAATGTATGCATTGGATGGCTGTTTCATCCTAGTATAGAGAACCCCAGGAACTTTGGTTTTGTGTACGAACCCTTAACCTTCAGATCACTGAAACGGGATCCAAAGGTTCTAATATCTAACTTCTTACTTGGCTTCCTCTTTTTCTGAATAATTTTTATTACCATTATCATATCATTACTATGATAACATTTCACTTATTATGTATTATATTCATACAACTTTATCCTTATTACTATCAGTACAATTTTAATTAGTCTGGTATTTCTCCTACCATTTATTATGTCCACATGATTTATCAAGTTATATTGATTGTAACTCGATCCATTATAAGGAATTTTCCTACCCCTTTCTTAATTGACCTTTAAATAAATGGTATAAGTTACATATATATTGGCGATAACCAACGCAAAGGTTTACTACCGTAACAGATAACATTAGCTGATTCACTTACTTATGTATGGCTTATTTTGATAATTGTGGACTTACAACAGTAAAGTATGACAACGATTATGGGAACAAGTAATCGTTCAAATAATCATTGTTTATGATTTGTTACACGAATTTCACACAAACTAATGTCAATAAATAGTTGATTACAGCTTCGTGATCTGACTTTCATATTTTTTTATGTCAGTCACAACGCAGGACCAGGCACATATATGCATCGGTCCAAGTTGCCACAGCTCATTAGCACAACAAGATGAACAACACTGAACCTATAGAAGTAGGTACTTTAATGGTGGCAATATATAAACGAAAGATTGCATATATGGATATAGTACAGGAAGAAAGAATTAGTTGGTAGAAAGATATAAAGCAATTTTAATCTCACGGGTTAAGGGAAGACAAAGAGTGAGTGTACTTTATCATGTAAATTTGTAGAGCTATGTAACCGAGTAATCTGTTTACATGGTCAGGTATTCAAATTGCTTTCACCTTTAACGCAATGTTGCTTATTGTTATACAATACATATAACTAATAGCCTGATGTATGGATCCTTATTAAGTTATTAGATCATCTAAAAATATGCGAAAAAAACTCATTACCTGCTAGGATCCCCAGCAAGTTTGTCAATACATGGTCTGATAGTTGAGTCAAACTCTGCTGCATCCGTAACCATCCGTCCCAATTCCACTAACGGTGGTAAACAGGCTGCTCGAACAACACGTTGATTATCAGAAACCAAACTGAAATATACAAACAAAGAACAATTGCTATTAATAAAATTTGAGAATATTCAAACTTTACAAATCGACAAAAGTATTAACACAAATAGTTTTTGAGAAAATAAATATCTTAACACAATGTGAACAACCGACATGTGTCTGTAGTTTCAACAGTGTACAAATTCGTTTTACTCGACACAGAAATAGATGAAACGTAAAAAGAAAGAGAAACACTGTACCGTTTTGTCTGCTTAAGGAAGTTACAATATATCAATCAATGATTATCGAATTGCATATTTTCCACTGACAGGTCAAATACATGAAACGATTCATATGAATAACATGGAATAGATGGCAAATTTAAATAAAATTCACATAGTCAATATGGTATGCAAAGATCACGTGTTTGTTTTCAATATTGAGTCGGGTCACTTATTTCTATAAATTAAAGAATCATTAAAATCTACCCGGAATGCGAAAGTATTTACAAAGATGCCAATGACTAAGTATGAGACTTCTTGATACTCATAGCTCAGAATACCTACGTCTCAAAAATGTTAAGTTTAACTGGAAAAAAACTATTTCTAACGGTTAACAGCAACTACTCAACTCCCGAAAACCATCGACTGTACTTAACAGTTTACTAATATCAAGTGTGAGTTTAATGAAATATGATTTATAGACTTAAATGAACATTGAGCTAGATGCAGTAGAGACCAATGAAATTCTAATATTTCTTTAAACTTTTAAACCAGATAGATCGGTCGAATCGGTAAATTAAAGTACTTAGTACAAGTACAAAAACATGGGTTGCATTTTCAGACAAACAAATGAAAAAAGTATTCAAACTAAACAGCAAGCAATATAGATTATAATTCAGCTTAATATAATCCCCTGAAAATAACTTATTTACGTAAAGAAATATTGGAAATGAATCAAGATTTAAGGATTATTTATTTCAATGGTTAAAATCATGAGTCGGTTGAAGCTAAACCACCATGGAAAATCTGGAAGCACTGGACGGCCGTTTCGTCCTATTGTAGGACTCCTCAGCAGTTTGCATCCACGACCTCGCCCCCTGCTCGATTCGAACCCAGGACCTACTGGTTTCGCGCGCGAGCACTTAACCACTAGACCACTGAGCCGAAATCCGACTGTGGTAATATCTAACTTCAACTAATCCACGAAATTGAGCGATACATCCATCATTGTCTTCAGTGAGTTACTATTTCACAACAGACCAGGTTGAACTCCACTAGTCACTAGATCTCACTAGAACTCCAGGATATACTTCGTGAAGCCAGTCACTATTTATTTGAACACAAATATTGGTAAAAAGGGTCATCGAATACATATGCGCCACATAGGTCACTTAATTTGTGTGATGGCTATGATACTACCCGGGTGTGCAGACCGAAGCAGGTAGTTTTCTTAGAGGGCTACACTCGGAACCTTCGACCTAAAGGTCTATTCCACAAGGCAGTGGAGCAACGTCAGGAGATGCAATCACATAGTAGTCGGTGACCAACAATAAGCTCATACATACACCATTTGTTCCCTCAGGATCATGGAGCCCATGTACATCGTTGGTTTGGAATGAGGGTTTTCCAACTCCCCTAGGTGGATCCTTCATATCCAGCAACCCGCTTAAAGCGCCGGACATTTGCTTCTCGTTCACTCAATTTCGTAAACAACAGCAATGTCGCGAGAAGGCAGTGATCTTACAACTAGTAAAACACTGAAAGCTAGACAAAGTTTTCTTGTTATAAAGAACAGAAAAGAATAATTTGCCGATACTTTATTTTCTCTCAAAAAAAGCTAACTGATGATTTGATTTGATTCTACATCATTTGGTACATCATAATTAACTTAAAAGTGAGTTAAGAATGAATTATTTTAAGACTTGACTAAGTTTTTTAAAAATGTAAGATGGAAAATTATTTCACATAGAACATTTACAATTGAAAGTGAATAACGTCATTCAAAATATATGTGTAACAATTGTTAGGTCGTGAGAAAAAGTTATAAACATGTACATATATACAACACCTTTTAGTAACCAAACAAGTTAACTTCGCGGTTAAAGTAATTTTTTAAAATAAGACTTATAGGCGCACATCTGTTAAAAAAATATATAACAACACACTGACAAACCTTGCAAGCAGCAGACTTAGTTCTGATTTTAAATCTGGACCGAAAAGTTTTGCAAGTGGAACAAGTTGTTGAACAGCAGCAGCCCGAACTAAAGGGACTTCATCTTCACTATCAGCCAAATGGAAAAGTCGGCTGAAATTATGCAATACATAAAAAGTGAAAGTAAAACTTGCAAAATTAAATCTATATACTAGAAATATGTCAATGTTAAGTGAACTCTAATGATTTTGTAAATCCATCACATATCAACTAAAATGTATGCAGCATCAAATTGTTAAAATTACTTAAATTCCATAGAATATAGAACTACCCTTTTAAATACAAAACCTTTAGATCATAAAAACAAAGATATAACAAGACAGCAACCAGACACAGAATGGAACTAATGGTCAGGGGTTTCACCCAGTGGATTTCATATTTCCCCAACTTGAGTCGGAACAACTGGATATTTAGTGATTTCATATGATGAGTGTTCCATAAAATCAAAAGCACGAAACTGTACTAAGCTATCGGTTGATATTAGTTAGAGTAATTATGTACAAGTTTGTGGACAGAACTATAAGCCGGTTGTGCAAAACACTGAGATTCACATGGCAGTAGGATGTTGATCTTCATTCAGAAAGCAAGTGTATAAAACACATAGAGGTCAGAACGCAGGAGACAATACCATTCGAAAAAAATCCTGAACCAAAAATCAATACAAAACGAAAATTGAATGACTTACTACTTAAAATCCACTTGATTTCGTGCTGAGACCATTGGATAACAGGCAATAATTAGTTTTGTAACCACTTTTCTTGAAGCACAATAAAGATCCTCTGAAAAATTAGTACAAATATACACTACTGTTAAGAAACATGCTAACTAACGAGGAACCCAGGATTTTAAAAAAACAACCTTGGAGAAGTATGCAGTACGTCTATGGCAGAAACTATCATAAGACTACAAATCAATTTTTTAACAGGATATTATACTCCGGTTTAACTCATCTCTTTAATAAATTTTTATGTACTTAACCTGTTTCATTTATTGTTTAAGATGGGTAGCGATGTTATTTGGCTATTTAAATCTCAGTATATGCAATAAGTTTCGAGCATGCAAACTTCGTTGGAAATGAAATGCCTGGATCAGAGACTCATTATAAACGAATATACAATTTGGTCTAAACAAGTGTTGTTTATAATAGATAAGAATTTTTTGAGAAACAACTCGTCTATAATACACTATGGGAACTTTCTTTAGCTACTTACAAAGGAAAACAGAGCAAAGAATTTATCTGTACACAATCAAACGTTAATAATTTGTTGAAACAACCTGACTAGATTGCTATAAGATGAGACCGTAAACTTATACTAAGTCTACATTAGTATCAGTTGACAAATCATTCAAGAATAACTGTACAAATGTAAAAGCTGACACACTGAAAAACCGAAATTGTCATAAACAACCAAGACCACTCAATAATTTTGTTTGTACCGGAGAATTTATTGACTCAGATTACAGCTATAGTTAGATCAGTCATACCGCGTGGGAAGTTTTATTCATCCAAACAAGTTTTATAGTTGTGTGATTGCAAAAGTCTATTCTATAACTTTTTTTCAAAACCATGTCAACCTGACTTTCAAATGAGCACTTATCATGCTCATTCATGTTCGAGGAGTATAACATAAAATCAAGATCATCACTAAGCAATATATCTTCAGGAAAACTGTCTATTAGTTCGAAATCACGACATAAGCTGAAGCAGTTAGACCTCAGACAATCCTAAAGAAAAGTTAAGCAGACAACATTTAACTCAAAATGAATGATGAAAACAGGAGTCGAATAATCAACGTCGTCGACTGTCCAATTTCAAAAGTCAAAAGGTTCTCTGAATATTAAAGCAGAAACTCAATGAATTAACATGTCACCTGACCAATGAATATAATATCCACCTTTGCAAAACAGTTGGAAAAAATACGTTGCTAGCTTAAAGCATATATATTAACTGCCAATAAGATGAACTTGCTAATTTATTAACAACTCGAATAGATATGAAACGAATGACAATAGTCTTATGTTTGTAGTGATTGTTATATATTACAAATTGGATTTTTGTAGATGAACAAGGCAAAATGTAGTAAAAGATAAGAACTGCGTTGTAATTTACGAAACTATGGTAAAACGTTTTAAGAACCGGTCAGGCAGAAGGTTCTAAATGTTGGCAGAGTATCAGGTGGGAGGACAACATATAGGAGGCTAGAACTAGATGTGATGCTTCGAAGCCAAACTGACGACACGTTGATTTTCAGTTGAGTTGCATTTCCGTGCAAGTGTATTTATAAAGAATGACAGCGTTACGAATAAGGCATATGAACTCACCTTCAATGATGTGACGGATAATTGGGGTAAACGTGCTATCCACAACATCATTTGGAAGCTTTGGAAGGAGTGCTATTAAAGAATTACAAGCAGCTTCAGCTACAACAACTTCCTCGATGGAATATATGATATTTGCCAGGATGGGCTATGAAAAGAGAAATATCACGGATATATTAAAACGATGGTAAAAAATTACATTTGCACTAAATAGAGAATTAGTTGAGCGATTTTTAGAAAACCGGAAAACCATTCATTCTAACACAGAATTTGAAACATCCTTTAACACTAATCTTCGTTCAACTACAGTATTTCTCCGACAGATTGATGTCGGCTCTGGAATATGGCTTCAGAGAGGCGAATCCTTCAAGTGTAAGTAAAAGAAACTAGGCCTTAACCACCACAAATATGGTATACTTTAAGAACTGAGTTGTTTTATTGAGGATTCAACAAGTACACATGCAACTTACCACAATTAAAGATATGTGTTCAGCACCACCAACTAGATCGCCAAAGGAACTCAGCTTTTGAGCTATAACCATGAGAATTTCATCGTCGCCAGCATCAATGGCGTTGGAAACAACTTCTACAAATAAATAAAAATATTGTCATTCGTAGGACATGATACGATATCTCTTGTAGAGCTTTTAAGAGCTTGACTCACCCGAGATTGTAGGTATGAGTTTTTCACGTGTATCCACCGGACCCAGACTACTGGCTAGTGTGGGTAAAGTGTGAAATACTCGAAGTTTTTCCTAATGAACTAGTCTTGATTCGATCAAACTACTTACAGATGTTTCCAAGTTCTCATATTCTGCATCAGAAGCATTGGAAGGTGCCGTTGAGTTATCAAACCTTAGGGTTTTTAAAGTTTGTAGCACAGCTTCTAAGACCGACATTTGTACATTATTATCGCCACAACGCCTAGACAAAATAGGCGGACTAGTGTCTAGGCCTTGAAGATTGAACAATGTATATGAGGTTAAGCTGAACAACGGTCAACACCTAAGAGGTGCTTAGCCAATTTCATCTCGTTAACCAAATAATGCTAATTTCCGTATTTTAATTCTGGGAATTTTGATCTATCCATATAAGCTACTAAATCAAAGATCGACTCTCCATGATCTAACCTTCACAATTGAAATGAATATATCAAGTGCAAGAATTGTGTAGCGGAAATATATTCCCAAAATAAATAATTCTGTATGTCCTCAACATTGATGCTGACCCAATTAGTTTTACTCAACACACCCTAGCTGAAGGCGATCGATCACGCATCTGCATCAGCTCACGAGTGGATACGCCGTGCTACTCATCCCTTGTAACTCCTAGCTGGCTTAGACCAAACGCTTTTCGACGGCTTTCTAAGTGCGTCTTTGAGCCCCTTCGCTTCTGACTTCTGATTTGACTGTGTTGGCATCCCTCAGTTATAAAGAAGAGACGTATGGAGGCGGTGTCAATTTCCGAATACCTGTAGCATCTTTAACCATAATGTCAAAAGTCGATACTTAGTGGGAATTGCAAAGGTTTTTATCAGTTATGAAGGGCAGTTAGTTCAATATAGTAAAGTATGAGAAAAGGACCAGTTTTTTAATTTTAAAATGATGACCAGACTGAGGGACGAGTCACATAGGGTTTGCTACGTGAGAGCTCGAAAATATTGTGACCTAAAATTCGAGGACCCTGAAAGTTTTTTGAATTACTTGGTTGAGGCTTGTAACGAGGACGTCCGTATTAGCACTATCATGGTCATGTTATCTAGATCGAATATGCAATCATTTCAAGTCACAAAGGAAATTATATTCCACTAGTTACCTAGACCTAACATACAACTTCTTAGGTTTCATTGATCAATAGTCTCTGTTGTTGTCTGTTTGTTCCCCCATTTCACGTATCGTTTGCAATTCTTGTTATTGGCTATAAAACGTTGTTCAAGTTGTCACTTTCATTACAAGTACGAAAACATATGAAACACCTGTGGTGTCTTATGGACTAGATCAAGAGTTACCTGATCGAACTTTGGTAAGACGGATGTCGTATAATGAAGTATAGATTTCTGGCGTTCCTGTGAAGTCCCCCATCCTCTATGGATCAGTAGACATAGATTATAAGATGATTAGAATATACCTTGACATCTAAAGTCATCTAAAGGTGCTGCAAATATCAGCGTTACCAAACACCGTCACTAACAATCTAACATTCTCACAGCAGCGAAAGTTAGTGGACCTTATGACCGAGTTAACTACATTACGGGCAAAAATCTTTATTCTGCAGGTCAGGCAGACATCGTCATCTCAAGGGTCAGATGTTAGTAAAGATCCCACATATATACGTTTCTTGTGATAGTATTTCTTTTTTTGCTTTTTAACATGCAATGTTTCCACTGCTTCTCTATCTATTCACGTATTTTATTTTGATCATTCTGTTAGCATGCAATTATTATTTCAGTATAGCATTATTTATTGGTTTCATTTGATTTAATCTAATGTATGGTTTCCTTGGAGACAGAAAGTTTTTACGCTATCAGCAACAGAGATTTGCCGTTTCGGATAGATCATTATTTATATGTTTCTAACACATCTCTCACAATTATTATGCGGTAAATTGCTCACTTTGGTGAGCTTTGACTCGTTATATTCTTATCTCATGTTAACAGGACACTGTCAATGGGACCCCGGGATTACTGCTCCTGTTTAACGAGTAATCAATCGATATTTACGATGTCGTAATCTTTGAATCTCCTATGACTAACCTAACAAGTGTTGTTGCGATTAGCTGTTACTCATGCCGAAGGAAATATTGTATTTCATTCGTAAGTGCCATGCCTATTGTGTTTTCGTACACAATTTTCACGTCATCATAAAGAACGTGACCTGTTAATGTCTCTTGATACCCTTAAACTGAAGTGCGTCATTGAATCATTAACTGGTATAGGTCTGTTGCATTTTCAAGAATTTCGGATTTCATACTAGTTGTTAAGATTTCTGATCGTTCCGGCTTGCTAGGCTTGATATCTATGAAACTATTACAAAAACGTTCAAGAACAGAGACCAGTAAAACTAATTTCATTGCTCTACTTTTCCCAGCTGATAGTAGAAGGCTGAAATGTGATTCAATAGAGGGCGGAAACAGATTATGGATGACCACATTACAACAGACACTAGGTACGCATAAAATAATTAATCCGGAGATGAACACCGATCAACTACTAAAATACGTTTACTGTTTAAAGGTACTGCTGACGTGGTTGAATATTTCAACTAACGAGGGTATAACTACACAATGAGGTTGACTTCCGAATGTTTACAGTTTAGGGGGAAAATTGGTAGTCGAATGTAAAATCGATGGCCCCGAGTTGATATTCGTTTAAATGGATCTGTTACAACTGATGGTGCTATGTCGGCACTTCTGTTTTGTTCGAACTTATCGAGACTTTGTATGGTTACATCTATTTTTTAGATTTTGTTCTCTTATGTTCGAGCCATGATTGGTTCGTCATTTTCAGCCATTTCACAGCCGGAACTAGATGGTGAAAAGAACACTTGAAAGAGTAACTACGTCAATGTGATCATAATTAACTTAAGACCGTTTCCGATGACTTTACACAGATGATACGATTTGAACGCAGGTGGTCGCGGCTTTTTATCGTGTTAAAATCTTCGTGCAATTTGTTTGTTTTGGTATGATTAGAGACAAGAACGTCAGGAAATTGTCTTGTAAGATTCATAAATTGACTATTTAGCGCATTTTAAAATCCATTGTTATCAAGTGTTAAAGCCTACAGAAGATTTCATGTTTCATCTTTAGATTAATAGAGTTTAATAGAGGTTGACAGAGCTCCAAAAAGGATGATCAGGCTTATTCGAATAATATTTTTATGCGTCTTCGAATTTTTGAGTCGAAGAGTTGTGCTAAATTCAAAGTCTCTCTTAGACGTCCATGATATCCCGATCGTGTGGTGTTAATACACGTATCTTGACGCATTTACTGAGCAATAAAGCTGGCCACGATAGATAAGAGAGGTCATTTACCATGATAATTAAAAGTGTTCTCATTGACGTGAAAACTAAGAATCTCTCCAATAGTCAGGTTAAACGAGATGAACACAACTGAACGTGTTCCATGTGTTTCTAGAATTAGCTGTGGAATAAAGTACAAAGGGAACGTCAACTAGTTTAAAAACTAAATTTACGTACAAGTGAAATAAGATTTGCAGTAGTTGAAATCCGATAATCATCGTTTTTCAGTTGTAATACTAATAAAAAAGTACATTAATAATAATAATCTAATAATAAAATATTAAGTTATTTATATAAAAAAAAAAGGGAGTTCTCATTTTTAATATATAAAAAAATATTTGAATTAAATATTTGGATTCTGGGTGTTTATTTTAAAAACCATTGGAGAACTGAAATATATCGTATAAATAAGAGTTTCACAAAAAGAACTATAAAAAAAAATAAAATTATTATTTTTTTATATTATTTATTTATCTTCTTTGCTCTTAAAAAGGAAATGGGTGAACAGATTGTTCCAAATGTATTGCGCTAAAAAATCACAAAGTTCCGATAAACTTCGTCTTCTAATATCATTATCGAAATTGCAAATAAATCAAAAGCGAGACAAAATATGTGTTTTAACAGTCAGTCACAGAAATGATACGTTTACAGAAAGAAAAAATAGATTGTCAAAGAGAAAGACTTACACAGAGGGGTTTTCTCATATTCCTACCTACCTACGCAAGTTATCCACAAAGGAGTATAAGCTGCCAACCGGCATTCTACAATCCACTCTATCCTCGGCTTTCCTTTTCAGTTCTGTCCACTTGTTATTTATTCTTCTCATATCTGTCTCCATTTATCGACGTAACTAGTTTTCTGGCCTTCCTTTTCTTCTTTGGTCTTCAGGGTTCCATGTGAGGGCTTGCCTAGTGACGCAGTTAGGTGTTTGCCTCAATCTGCGTCTCATCCACTCCCAAAGCTTCTTCCTGACGTCTCTCTCCGTTGGAATCTAGTTCGTTCTCTCCCACAGTAGGTTGTTGTTGATAGTGTCTGGCCAACGGATCCGAGGTATTTTGCGTGGACACCTATTAGTAAACACTTGTATCTTCTGGATGATGGCTTTCGTAATTCTCCAGGTTTTCGCCCCATGCAATAGAACTGTTTTGACATTTGTATTGAAAATACTGACTTTAGCGTTGGTTGACAGACTGTTGTTTCGAGTTCCATATATTTTTTAATTGTAGATATTCTACTCTCGCTCTGTAGATCCGTGCTTTCACATCTGCATCAGATCCGCCGTATTCATCAATGATGCTGCCCAGATATGTATATATATATTTCTGCATGCGCAGGTACACGCCATTTTTGCAGACATGATCTATAAATTACAACACTTGTTGGTTCACAAAATGCTTCGCAACTTATTAAGTTTATAGTTGTTATAAAGTATACTCGTAGGGCGCTTGCTGTAAACCGTGACCTTGAGGAGACACGTACGTCAAGTTTGTTCCAGACGTCAGAAGTTTATTATTATTACATCTTCCAAATTTCCAGCGAGATTCTTTGTTGTATCATACAGTTGTCTCATGTTTCCTTCTCTCATGGACTTGCTAGTTCTTCAGAATATTTGCGTTTATCAGCTTTGATGCTCCCCCTCACTTGCTTGTTTGCTTATGTGTATTCAGTTTTGCCTTGGCTTTCTCTTGTTCTCTTGTTCGACCCATATTTTTTGCTGCCTTCTTGTTCCGCTTTTTTGAATTTTACCTAGTGTATCAACAGTGGCCTGGTCCTCGTGATGATGCTTCTTGTGACCCAGAACCTCATGACATGTTGAAGTGATTGTCTCTTTTATCTCTTTCCAGTTTTTCTCCATAGTGGTTCCCTCTGCATTGAGTAGGTTGTAAAAGGTCTGAAACCTATTGCCGAGGAATATCTTGAATGCTTTGAGTTTGTCAATATCCTGAAGAAGGGCCATATTAGGCTACTGTGATGTTCGGTTTTAATTTCACCTTGGCGACCAGCAACTGATGATCTGAGGTTACATCAGCCTCTCTCTTGGTTCTAACGTCCTCCACCGTCCTTCTGAA